CATCCCTGTCGTGTTCCTGATCTCAGGGAGAAAGCTCTGAGTTTTTCTCCATTGAGGATGGTATTAGCTGAGGGCTTTTCATAAATGACTTTTATGATGTTTAAGTATGTTCCTTTTATCCCGACTTTCTCAAGGGTTTTTATTAAGAAAGTTGCTGAATTTTGTCAAATGCTTTTTCTGCATCGATTGATGGGATCATATGGTTCTTATCTTTTCTTTTATTAATGTGATGTATCACATTGATTTGTGAGTGTTGAACCAGCCTTGTAGCCCAGGAATGAATCCCACTTGATCATGGTGAATAATTCTTTTTATATGCTGTTGAACTCAATTTGGTAGTATCTTGTTGAGAATTTTTGCATCCATATTCATCAGGGATATTGGCCTGTAGTTCTCTTTTTTTGCTGGGTCTCTGGTTTGGGAATCAAAGTAATGCTGGTTTCATGGAATGAGTCTGGAAGTTTTCCTTCCCTTTCTATTTTTTGGAACAGCTTGAGAAGGATAGGTATTATCTCTGCTTTAAATGTCTGGTAGAATTCCCCAGGGAAGTCATCTGGTCCTGGACTCTTATTTGTTGGGAGATTTTTGATAACTGATTCAATTTCTTCGCTGGTTATGGGTCTGTTCAAGCTTTCTATTTCTTCCTGTTTGAGTTTTGGAAGTGTGTGGGTGTTTAGGAATTTGTCCATTTCTTCCAGGTTGTCCAGTTTGTTGGCATATAATTTTTCATAATATTCCCTGATAATTGCTTGTATCTCTGAGGGATTGGTTGTCATAATTCCATTTTCATTCGTGATTTTATCTATTTGGGTCATCTCCCTTTTCTTTTTGAGAAGCCTGGTTAGAGGTTTATCAATTTTGTTTATTTTTTCAAAAAGCCAACTCTTGGTTTCATTGATCTGCTCTACACTTTTTTTAGATTCTATATTGTTTATTTTTGCTCTGATCTTTATTATTTCTCTTCTGCTGGGTTTGGGGTGTCTTTGCTGTTCTGCTTCTATTTCCCTTAGGTGTGCTGTTAGATTTCGTATTTAGGATTTTTCTTGTTTCTCGAGATAGGCCTGGATTGCAATGTATTTTCCTCTCAGGACTGCCTTCACTGCATCCCAAAGGTTTGGATTGTTGTATTTTCATTTTCGTTTGTTTCCATATATATTTTTAATTTCTTCTCTAATTGCCTGGTTGACCCACTCATTCTTTAGTAGGGTGTTCTTTAACCTCCATGCTTTTGGAGGTTTTCCAGACATTTTCCTGAAGTTGATTTCAAGTTTCATAGCATTGTGGTCTGAAAGTATGCATGGTACGATCTCAATTCTTTTATACTTATGAAGGGCTGTTTTGTGACCCAGTGTGTGATCTTGGAGAATGTCCCATGTGCACTCGAGAAGAAAGTATATTCTGTTGCTTTGGGATACAGAGTTCTAAATGTATCTGTCAGTTCCATCTGGTCCAATGTATCGTTCAGGGCCCTTGTTTCTTTATTGATCCTGTGTCTAGATGATCTGTCTATCCATTGTTGTTAGTGGGGTATTAAAGTCCCCTGCAATTACTACATTCTTATCAATAAACTTGCGTATGTTTGTGATTAATTGTTTTATATATTTGAAGGCCCCTGTATTCAGTGCATAGACCTTTAATTGTTAGCTCTTCCTGATGGATAGACCCTGTAATTATTATATAATGCCCTTCTTCATCTCTTGTTACAGCCTTTCATTTAAAGTCTAGTTTGTCTGATATAAGTATGGGTACTCCGGCTTTCCTTTGACTTCCAGTAGCATGATAGATAGTTCTCCATCCTCTCACTTTCAATCTGAAGGTGTCCTCAGGTCTAAAATGAGTCTCTTGTGGGGGCGCCTGGGTGGCACAGTCGGTCAGGCATCCGACTTCAGCCAGGTCACGATCTCGCGGTCCATGAGTTCGAGCCCCGCGTCAGGCTCTGGGCTGATGGCTCAGAGCCTGGAGCCTGTTTCCGATTCTGTGTCTCCCTCTCTCTCTGCCCCTCCCCCCGTTCATGCTCTGTCTCTCTCTGTCCCAAAAATAAATAAACGTTGAAAAAAAAAATTAAAAAATAAAATAAAATAAAATGAGTCTCTTGTAAACAGCAATTAGATGGGTCTTATTTTTTTTTATCCATTCTGATACCCTGTGTCTTTTGGTTGGAGCATTTAGTCCATTTACAATTCAGTGTTATTACTGAAAGATAGGGGTTTAGAGTCATTGTGATGTCTGTAGGTTTCATGCTTGTAGTGATGTCTCTGGTCCTTTGTGGTCCTTGCAACATTTCACTCACAGAGTCCCCCTTAGGATCTCTTGTAGGGCTGGTTTAGTGGCAATGAATTCCTTCAGTTTTTGTTTGGGAAAACCTTTATTTTTCCTTGTATTCTGAATGACAGACTTGTTGGGTAAAGGATTCTCGGCTGCAGATTTTTCGTGTTCATCACATTGAAGATTTCCTGCCATTCCTTTCTGGCCTGCCAAGTTTCAGTAGATAGGTCTGCCACTAGTCTTATGGGTCTCCCTTTATAAGTTAGAGCGTGTTTATCCCTAGCTGCTTTCAGAATTTTCTCTTTATCCTTGTATTTTTCCAGTTTCACTATATGTCGTGCAGAAGATCGATTGAAATCACGTCTGAAGGGAGTTCTCTGTGCCTCTTGGATTTCAATGCCTTTTTCCTTCCCCAGATCAGGGAAGTTCTCAGCTATGATTTGTTCAAGTACACCTTCAGCCCCTTCTCTCTCTTCTTCTGGAATTCCCTATGATATGGATATTGTTCCATTTGATTGCATCACTTAGTTCTCTAATTCTCCCCTCATACTCCTGGATTTTTTAAATCTTTTTCTCAGCTTCCTCTTTTTCCATAATTTTGTCTTCTAATTCACCTAGTCTCCCCTCTGCCTCTTCAATCCATGCTATGGCCGCCTCCATTTTATTTTTCACCTCATTTATAGCATTGTTTAGCTCCTTGTGACTCTTTCTTAGTCCCTTGATCTCTGTAGCAATAGATTCTCTGCTGTCCTCTATGCTTTTTTCAAGCCCAGTGATTAATTTTATGACTGTTATTCTAAATTCTTGTTCCGTCGTATTGCTTAAATCGTTTTTGATCAATTCGTTAGCTGTCGCTACTTCTTGGAGTTTCTTTTGAGGAGAATTCTTCTGTTTCGTCATTTTGGGTAGTCCCTGTGGTGGCTCCAAACTGCAGGGCACTTCCCCTGTGCTGTGTGGAGTAACTTGTGTTGGTGGGCGGGGCTGCGGTGAGACCCGATGTCTGTCCCCAGCCCACTGCTGGGGTCACAGTCAGACTGGTGCGTACCTTATCTTCCCCTCTCCCAGGGGCAGGACTCACTGTGGAGTGGTGTGGCCCCTGTCTGGGCTACTTGCACACTCCCAGGCTTGTGGTGCTGCTTCGATGGGATCTGGCGTATTAGCTGGGGTGGATCCGCAAGGTGCACAGGGGTGGGAGGGGCAGGCTCGGCTCGCTTTGCCTTGGGTGGTCCGCTTCGGGAGGGAGGCAGACCTGTCGGAGGGATGGATCCCCAGAAGCACAGCGTTGGGTGTTTGCGTGGTGCAAGCAAGTTCGGTGAGGGGAACTGGTTCCCTTTGGGATTTCGGCCGGGGGATGGGAGAGGGAGATGGCGCTTGCCAGCGCCTTTGTTCCCCACCATGCTGGGCTCTGTCCTCCGGGGCTCAACAACTCTCCCTCCCGGTGTCCTCTTGGCCCCCCCCCCCCCCCCCGCTCTCCGAGAGCAGAGCTGTTGACTTTTAACATTCCAGATGTTAAGTCCCGCTGGCTGTCAGAACACACTCCGTCCGGCCCCTCCACTTTTGCAAGCCAGACTCCGGGGCTCTGCCTTGCCGGGCGGGCTGCCCCTCCACTGCCGCGGTCCCTCCCGCCAGTCCGGGTAGCGCACCGCCTCTCCGCCCTTCCTACCTTCTTCCGTGGGCCTCTCCTCTACGCTTGGCTCCAGAGTCTCCGTTCTGCTCGTCTTCTGGCGGTTTTGTGGGTTATTTAAGCAGATGTGGGTGGAATATACGCGATCGGCAGGACGAGGTGAGCCCAGCATCCTCCTACACCGCCATCTTCCTGTTACTGTCTTCTTGATACTAGCCATCCTGACAGGTGTCAGGCATATTTTTGGGGTGTGAATTAACTTCTTTCTTGCCCTTTGATTTATAATTTATGTTTGTGTTGTATATTTTTGTTTGTCTTAGCCTCTGGTTTTCAAATATATTTTATAATACTCATCACCCATATACGTACATTTCTGAGACACTTGGCACTTTTTCCTTTGCAGGTGGTTTTGGTTTTATTTGTACATAAAAAAGATTGTTTTGCTAGGCTTGTAAATAATAACAGCTGTCTTTGCAAGCACCGCTGTGTGGAAGATGATGGAAATTGTGTGACACAGTATAAGCTTCCTCTCGCTGGAAGGTCTGTCCTGTTCCACTTACCTCTCCTCCCAAAGACCAGCTGTTACATAGACTTACACAGTGTTCCAGCTTAAAAAAGCAAACAAACAGCTGTCAGCATTGTCTCTTCTCCTTAGAGGCAATGAACTTTTACCCTATTAACTAAATATTTTGGTATTTACTTCCTGATCTTTTAATGACACTCTTACAAAGCTGTGTGATACTGAGATTTGGGAGAAACGAGGATATTTGGTCTTCATCCATGGTTCCTGGCTCACAGCCCCCCAGATCCTTGGAATTTTCCTGAGCCCTAAGCAGCAGGGGCATCTTCTGTCGTAATATTTGGTCTTGTCTTCAGTTCCTGGCAAAAAAACCAAACCCTTTAGAGCCATAACCCTGGTGTGTGTCAGCCCCTGTCCACCACTATTGGGTTTATACAAGTAAGGGGAATTTTGGAAATCCCCTAAGGATGGTGGTTGCCAAGGGAACCAGCCCTGTGATTGGAGGGTCGGGGCTTCCAGCCCCACCTCTTCACCTCCAGAGATGGGGGAGGGGCTGCAGGTGGAATCAGTGACCCAAGGCCAGTGATACACTCCAAGTCAATCACAGCTATGTAATAAAGCTTCCAGAAACACCCAAGAGGGTGGGGTTTGGGAGCTGCTAGTGGGGTGGAGGTGCCCCGAGAGTGGCTCACTGGAGGGGAGCATGGGAGCCCTAGCCTCCTTCCCCCACACCCCCTGTCCAGGGCATGTCTTCACCTGGCTGTTAATTCATATCTTTTACTATCTTTATAGTGAGTGATCCAATGGAGTAAATGGGTTTCCTTAATTCTTCGAGCTGCTCTAGCATGGTTTTTTGTTTTGCTTTTTTTTAATGTTTGCTTATTTTTGAGAGAGAGAGAAACAGCATGAAAAGGGGAGGGGTAGAGAGAGAGAGGGAGACACAGAATCCGAAGCAGCTTCCAGGCTCCAGGCTCCAAGCTGTCAGCACAGAGCCCGACGTGGGGCTCGAACTCACAAACCATGAGCTCATGACCTGAGCCAAAGTCGGACGCTTAACCCACTGAGCCACCCAGGCGCCCCTTCTCTAGCATGTTAATTGAGCCCAAGAAGGGGGTCATGGGAACCTCTAATTCCAGCCCCCCACCCGCTTGCTGATCAGAAGCATGGGTGATAGCCGGGGCTTCCAGGAGAGTGCCCTCACCTGTGGGATCTGACGCCACCTCCAGGTAGATGGTGTCAGAATTAAGTTGAGCTGTAGGCCACCCCACTGTAGGGATCCCACCTGGTGGTGTGAGGGGATCCCCCTTCCTCCACCCATATGGTGGAACTTGGTCCAGAAAAAAAAAAAAAGCACTACCTCAGAGTCTGCTCGGGTTGCCATTGAGCATCTTTATTTTATTTTTTTGATTAAAAAAAAAGTTTAATGTTTATTTTTGAGAGTGAGTGGGGGTGGGGCGCGCGTGCGCGCGCGCACACACACACACACACACACACACACACACACACACACACACTATCCAAAGCAGGCCCTAGGCTCCAGGCTGGGTGCCATCAGCACAGAGCCCAATGTGGGGCTCGAACCCATGAACCTGAGATCATGACCTGAGCTGAAGTCAGAGGCTTAACTGCCTGAGCCACCCAGGTGCCTGGCATCTTTTGTGTTCTTCCACCTGCAGCACTCACGGGCATGCCTTCATGCCTACTCTTCCTAGAGGTCAGCTTCTGCTCAGAGTAGTATTCCCTGTTTTGTTTATTTTTGAGAGAGACTCCCAGGCAGGCTCTGCACTGGCAGCTCGGAGCCTGACGCGGGGCTTGAACTCATGAACTGTGACGCTTAACTGACTGAGCCACCCAGGCGCCCTCACAGTCCCTGTTGTAAAGGGAAATCGCTTCTCCTGTGTGGCTCCTTTACCCACACAGAACACGGCGCCTCTGACTCTCCTGGTCACCAAATGCGTGGAGATTTTTCCCCACAGCCACTCATTTCCCTGTGACACCAGCTGGGTGTCCTGCAGTTTGTCAGCAGAAACTCCTGAGATACCACGATTTGGTCACAGGCAAGGGGAAGCTTTGCTGCCACGATTTGCAGACTGGGGAGACCACAGCCTTCGGCTGTGAACGGAAAGCCCACTCCAGAGGGGAAGGTTTAGGCTTAAATAGGCAAAACCCGCAAGTTTGTCCCCTTGTCGAGGGTGGACCGACCCCAGACTTCAACTTCAGGAGCAGACGACAAGCAGGACCCAGCCCTCTGTTTCCGGCAGTGGCTCCAGGGTGTGGCAGCTGAGGAGGAGCACGATACCATGTGTCTTCCCGTGAATTTTGCTGAATTTTGTGCGGGCCCATTGCCACAGGCCGTGCTTTTATTCTTCAGGGTCATCTGGCCTGGTGACAATTTCTGTTTTCTCTCCCTTGCCATGAGGGAACCCATCTTGTCCGTTAGCTGTTGCTGTCTGATTATTAGGGTCTTTTGTTCTCAACGTTAAAAAAAATTTTTTTTCTTGGGGCTCCTGGGTGGCTCAGTCGGTTGAGTGTCTGACTTCGGCTCAGGTCATGATCTCGCAGTTCATGAGTTCAAGCCCCAGGTCGGGCTCCGTACTGACAGCTCAGAGCCTGGTGCTTGCTTCAGATTCTGTGTCTCCCTCTCTCTCTGCCCCTTCCCTACTCATGCTTTGTCTCTGTCTCTCAAAAATGAATAAACGTTAAAAAAATTTCTTTTTTTCTTTAAGTGTATTTATTTTGAGAGAGAGCAAGCATGAGTAAGAGGGGGGGGCGGAGAGAGAGAGGCAGAGAAAGAATCCTAAGCAGGCTCTGTGCTGTGACCACAGAGCCTGGCGTGGGGCTCAAACTCATGAATTGTGAGATCGTGACCTGAGTAGAAATCAAGAGTCAGACGCTTAATCAACTGAGCCACCCAGGTGCGCCTTTTGTTATCAAATTGAACTCCATTGTGGCACTGTCTAACCATAGATAGGGTCAGATCCCACAGGGTAAGGGCTCACCCTACAAGGCAGCCCCTCTCCCCCAACTTCAGATGCCAACCAAAACTCCAGTGGCCTTCGGAGGTTCCTAGGATCCCTGCCTTGGGTTTAGTTAATTTTCAGGAGTGGCCCCCAGAATTCAGGAAACCATTACTACGATACCCGTTTGCTGCAAAGGATATTAACTAATAAGAATCAACAGCCAGATGAAGAGATCCATCAGGTGAGATTCCAAAGGAGCTTCTGTCCCCAGTCAGAGGCCCCGAAGGGTGCCCTGGGGACTGGATCTGGTTCCACAGTCGGGAAGCTGTCCAGACCCCGCCCTTGTGGGTGTTTATGGAGGCTTCATGACACAGGCAGGGTGCACGAAATCATCGGTGATTGGCCATTGTCCACCTCCAGCCCCTCTCTCCTCCCTGGAGGTTGAGGGTCAGTTCTAACCCTCCAGTCACTGCTCTGGTTCCCCTGGCAACCAGCCCCCCATTCCTAAAACTCACCTCATCAACATAGTAAGAGACACCTTTATCACTCTTCCTCACTTAAGAAATTTCAAGGGTTTGGGGCACATGGGTGGCTCAGTCACTTGAGTATCAAATTTTTGCTCAGGTCATGATCTCACAGCTCACGGGTTCGAGCCCCGCATCGGGCTTTGTGCTGACAGCTCAGACCCTGGAGCCTCCTTCGGATTCTGTGTCTCCCTGTCTCCTTGCCCCGCCCCTGCTTGCACTCTCTCTTTCTCTCTATCAAAAATAAAATCAACATTAAAAAAAGTTAAAAAGTTTTCAAGGTTCTTTTTGGTTTTTTTAATTTACATCCAAATTAGTTAGCATATAGTGCAACAATGATTTCAGGAGTAGATTCCTTACTGCCCCTTACCCATTTAGCCTCCCACAACCCCTCCAGTAACCCTCAGTTTGTTCTCCATATTTTGTCCCCCTCCCTGTTTTTATATTTTTGCTTCCCTTCCCTTCATCTGTTGTGTCTTAAATTCCCCGTATGAGTGAAGTCATATTTGTCTTGCTCTAAGTTCGCTTAGCATAATACCCTCCAGTTCCATCCACGTAGTTGCAAATGGCAAGATTTCATTCTTTTTGATTGTTGAGTAATACTCCATTGTGTGTGTGTGTGTGTGTGTGTGTGTGTGTGTGTGTGTGTGTGTGTATACATACACCACATCTTCTTTATCCATTCATCCATCGATGGACATTAGGGCTCTTTCCATACTTTGGCTATTGTTGATAGTGCTGCTGTAAACATGGGGTGCATGTGTCCCTTCGAAACAGCACACCTGTATCCCGTGGATAAATGCCTAGTAGTGCAATTGCTGCGTCGTAGGGTAGTTCTATTTTTAATTTTTTGAGGAACCTCCATACTGTTTTCCTGAGTGGCTGCACTAGTTTGCATTCTCACCAGCAGTGCAAAAGAGGTCCTCTTTCTCCCCATCCTTGCCAACATCTGTTGTTGCCTGAGTTGTTAATGTTAGCCATTCTGACAGGTGTGAGGTGGTATATATATTTTTTTTTTTACAATTTTTTAAAAATATATGAAATTTATTGTCAAATTGATTTTCATACAACACCCAGTGCTCATCCCAAAAGATGCCCTCCTCAATACCCATCACCCACCCTCCCCTCCCTCCCACCCCCATCAGCCCTCAGTTTGTCCTCAGTTTTTAAGAGTCTCTTATGCTTTGGCTCTCTCCCACTCTAACCTCCTTTTTTTTTTTTTTTTTTTTTCCCTTCCCCTCCCCCATGGGTTCCTGTTAAGTTTCTCAGGATCCACATAAGAGTGAAAACATGGTATCTGTCTTTCTCTGTATGGCTTATTTCACTTAGCATCACACTCTCCAGTTCCATCCACGTTGCTACAAAGGGCCATATTTCATTCTTTCTCATTGCCACGTAGTACTCCATTGTGTATATAAACCACAATTTGTTTATCCATTCATCAGTTGATGGACATTTAGGCTGTTTCCATAATTAGGCTATTGTTGAGAGTGCTGCTATAAACATTGGGGTACAAGTGCCCCTATGCATCAGCACTCCTGTATCCCTTGGGTAAATTCCTAGCAGTGCTACAGCTGGGTCATAGTGTAGGTCTATT